TACTCAGGACACTATAGCTAATATAACTAAATCACATCATAATATTACTGAGGAGATTTTAGGCACTGGTTTTTTTGTGCGATGAGTTCATTTGACTGTTATCCTGTAAAGCTAACTATTAAATATCTCATTTTGGAGGTTTATGGGGATTATTGATTGATATCAGGTTGGTAATTATCAATGAATAAATCCCCCATAAACCTCTAAATCGGATTACTCTCCAGTGCTCATTAGTGACTAGCTTTGAGAGGTGATTTCCAAAGTTCCATGAGAAGCCATGACCAGTGGTGACAATAAAGTCGAACATGAGGGCAGTCTACTCAACGACAGCACTGAATGGAGGTGGCGCAATATCAGAAGTTGGAAATACGGATCTATGGATTCCAACCCACTGACTCAAATTTGACGTGCTGACCAAGGAACTAGGGTTCGGTCCCTGACGGGGTCATGGACACGCACTGCTGAGGAGTCCCCTGATAGGACGAAACAGCTGTCCACTGCTCTCAGGCTTCCAGTGGTTCTCTAACTAGTGTCAGCTGACGATGAATGCCCACTTACTATCAAATTTTTGCTATCATGAATGCTATAACCGCTCGGTACTCTGCTAGTCTTAGATATGATAATTCAATGCAAGTAAGCAGATATGAATGACGAATGTATAATAGAAGTTTCTGAAGATTCGAGACACACACTTCAATTTTACACCTTCACATCTATTAGTTTATAACTCCCGTGACCAGAACTAGAAAGTTACACTTTTAGAACGTAGAAAGGAAATCGATACGAGAAATTACCACAATAAATGTGGTTGCAGTGTTTTCAACACAGTTAAGGTAAACTCTGAAAACAATATATAAAGTAAACTTGCCTGCTAGATCATAGGACAAGTATGACGTAAGAGGAGAAGTAACGCACTGTGATAGAGTATAAACTCATATTCAACTAATCTATTTGATATAACGCTCAGTGATACAGTACTATTTACAAGATGAAGTTTCGGGCCCAAACTCATCGCTCCCAATCATATCACAGTAGTCATGTAACTTTCAGACTCCTTTTTTATGGCCCAATTGTTCCTTATTCCTTTATACTCAGTGGTAGTAGAATTTTTAAAATGTTGCACAAGTCAAGTGTAGACTAGATGAATAAGGATTCAACAATTCCATTTTATTCTGTTTGTTAGATGTGTCGCACAGTGAAATAGTATTATTTCCTGGATAACCTTTCGGAAATAATTTATCGTCTGTAGTCATATCAGGTGTTTCACTGTGCAAAATATCAAATAAACAGTCTAAAATGGAGTTTCAATCTATCACAGTGTCCACGTTTCACTCCCATATTAAAGACTCGGTAGTCAATCTCTTCTTTAATCCGGTTGTGTTGGAGTTTAGAACTATCACGATACCTCACTGTATTTTGTGATGATAAGTCAGTGCATGCAGAATGATAGCCAGGCCTTTCTCTACATGAATTACGTAAGTATGGTCCATAATGCTATATTTTGGCAAAACTTTTGGGCTCTGATATCCTTAACAATCCCGACTGGTTTCTTTCACCTATGTTATAACTGAACTAACAATCATTACATGGTATCTAATAGGTTGGGTAATCTCACCTGTTTGATTCTACTGAATCTTCTACCTTCTCTAAGTGAGCTTGTAGGTCTGAATGCCAGCCTAATTCTAGCAAAATGAAACACAGAATTCTGTCAGCACTCAGGACTAAACAAAATAAAATTGGTTGGTCTCCAGCGACAAGTCATTGTCAGCAATCCAGTCCTACAGGAAGTAAATTGCAGCCAGAATAGCTCAGTGTTAAAGTCGCTGACTGCAGCTTTAAGAGATGTGGGATTAATTTCCAGAGTGGACATCGGCTCCCTTTAGGTTGCAGACACACCCTGATAACTAATTCTGACAAACATGAAACCCAGATAGATGACCTCTTGCTCACTGTCTTTATCAAACTAACAATGTTAGGAATCCTATGTAGAATTTATGATGTCAGTTTTTCATATAGCAGCACTTCAGAAGATTTGAATTTTCTTCTAGACATGTTCCAACCACTACTAATGTTGTTACTTCTCTTCCTCTTACTTTACCTTGTAAACTATTTATTGAAATCCGGAGAGTAGTTGGCAAGTAGATATGTCTCTTTATAATGCTTCAGTTTCCATATTAGATTTTCTTAATTATTATTCAGCTGTGAAAATGAACTAAGCATACCCTGACAGATATGAGGTGAGATAGTGTAAAACTCAAGTATCTATTCCTGTGCAACGGTTTCCTGTAAACACTGGTACCTAAACTATAGTCTCCTCTTTGTTTAATTCTTCAATGCAACATAAGAAGTTCTAATCATGGATTTTCTACTGCAAAACTGATTTTGATTGCATCTGCTTCCGAGTTTTATATGTGTCAAATAATTATTCTGATTTCAAAATAGTAAAAAATCCCCACTATCTTTCTGGAGTAGATAGAAATTTTCCTGATGTCATACTTTTCCAACTGTCAATAAACATGTCTGAGGTGATTTGGGATATTGTGGATCCAGTTTCTACTCTTTTGTGGAATCTTAGGGCTTTAGGATTCGGACACATTTTTACATCCAGCTTGATTTCAACAAGTGAACTTTTCAATATCAGTGAGTTCCTGGTCATTGTTGGGAGCATTTCTGACTCCCTCAAGTGTCATATTGACTGAGATTATACTATAGAGTATCATTACGTCAAAAGTAACAATAGTTTTTCCCTTTTTTAGTTTCTTATTACTTCGCTTTTGCAGCAATGCAAAAGAAATCGTTAACCTAGACTCTGATTTCTAACAGAATATAATATTGTAGCTAAATATCTAGATAGTTCATATGTTAACGTGTCACCGAAGTTGACTTTCCGTCTAATAGGATTATCTAATTTACAAATCTAAGCAGAGCCATATAACCTGTTGAGGTTATTCGTTTTAGACAAAAATTAAACCACTACTAATCACCCATAATCGAACAACTAGTGTAGAATATACTGTAGAAGGAGCAGTTTCGTAAAGAGTAATTAGATCCGTATTTAGCATCTCTGAGATCTAACCAAATGTCAGGTGGCTAATTTCTGTTGCAACACTACATATCGTCATCGAACAGAGCATAGAATGGCAGTCAACTGGATATTTATTTACCTCAACTTCATCGATTTCAAAAAGGCTTTCGATAGCGTCGACCGACAAGTAATATGACAGGCAGCTACTTCAATACTACGGTTTCACTGCCACAAACATTTATCAACCTGACTCAACAGCAGCTGGCCATATGCTATATGATGAGGCTACATGCCAACTGATTCACAATGGAAAGCTCAGTGATGATGCCTTTGAAGTGAAGTGAAGTGAAGACAGGAGTAAGACAAGACAAGACAAGACAAGACAAGGCAAGGAAAGACAAGAGAAGAGAAGACAAGACAAGACAAGGCAAGGGAAGACAAGAGAAGGATGCCACCTACTATCATCAACCATGATCTTCCTGATTGTGGTCAACTAGACTCGACTCGACTCGACTCGACTGGATCATGCAACAGACAACTGTGAGCAGCGAGGAGATGGGCATACACTGACTGGACTGATGAAGAGACCCCAGAAGAAGATTTGGATTTCGCTGCCGACGATGACGATTTATGTTTGATGTCTTGTCACACAAACTCGAAGATGTACAGGTGAAAACCAAGGAGTTGACAGAAGAGGTGAGACAGGGCAGTGGAGACGGGACTTCTTTCAGGTGAATGTAGAGAAAGAAGACAGAGGTGATGAAGATGGCCAACCAGTAACAACGACAACACCAACAAACACCAATCACCATCAAGGGGAGAAATCTTCAGGAAGTTGTCTCTTTCACCTATCTACCCACCTAGGCAGCATCGTTTCAACTATAGACGGCGGCACAGGCACAGATGATGATGATGTCGAAGCAGTCAGCATTGGAAGGACATCAAGACAGGCCTTCCCTCATCAATCTGAAATCGTTGTGGTGATCTGTTGCACTGCACTGCACTGCACTCAGCATAAAGCGTGAACAAGATGTTGATTTTCAACACTAATTCAGTCAAGTAAGTCAGTGCTTCTATGTGATGGTTGAGAGACTCGGCGTGTCACGAAAAGCATTCTCAGCAAACTACAGACATACATGAACAGCTGCTGCCTACTCCCACTCGATACTGAAGATCAGATCAGATGACCAGAATAACAAGAATAAGCAACAGGGAACTGTGGCTGGCTGGCTGGCTGGCTAGCTGGCTGGCTGGCTGGCTGGCTGGCTGGCTGGCTGGCTGGCTGGCTGGCTGGCTGGCTGGCTGGCTGGCTGGCTGGCTGGTGGCTGGCTGGCTGGCTGGCTGGCTGGCTGGCTGACTGGCTGGCTGACTGGCTGGCTGGTAACGGACCAACTAACCAACAACCTATCGTCCAACAAATATGCAGTAGAAGAGAGTTGAGATGGAATGGAATGGAATGGATTGGATTGAATTGGATTAGACATACAATGAGGAGATGGTTTGGCAACATCACGCTCAAGGCGAGGCCGTGTAATTGAAGTGAGATGAGAAACGACGAGTTGGGTGTCGGAGGCGAGGTTGACATGGAGGGGATCGTGTGAGGAAGAAATGAAGGGATTTGTGTAGTCATGGAGTGAGGTAGAAAAGACTGGAGAGGAGAGAGTGGAATGGTGACGTTCTAGTGAAGCCCTATTTGCCACCAGGAAACCAGAGGCCAAATAATAATATTATTTTAATTTCTGTTGTTCACTACATGTCTGTAAAGTGTGATAAAGTAAATATGATAATTCAAAAGTGAGTCATTTCAGCTTATCTATTTGCTGTTTTCGGCAGTCCTCATCAAAATCTTCGCTTTCATTTCATGATTTATTAAGTCTATGAACTATAGCTTATGGTTAAAATCCCTCGTTGTATATTGTCTATAGCTTCAAAAATTACTGAAACTTCAAGCTTGTTCATTGTTAAGCAGCTTAAGTTAATATTTTGTTGTTAAACTCTGTTTAAATACATCGGTTACTGAATGGTAATCACTCTTACTTAACAGTTCCATACTATTGACTAATGTCTATCGATCAAATATTAGATATTGTCACCAATATGGATAAAATGTTGCTTGCGCTTATTTTCACTGCATCCCATGATTCCATCCATGAACAGTTAGTTCCCTTCAAAGCAATGAGTACTGCCTCTGTCACCGTTTTGATAAAAATAATTTCATAGCTCCAAGATGAAACGACCTTATCAGCATACAAGAAACAAATGGTTTAGGCAGGTTTGCTTTATTGTGACTGGCACACGTAAACTCCCAGTGAAAGCTTTCACTGAATTCTGGATGACTTAGGTGAAGAGTGGACTTTAAATCTAATCACAGACAATCTACTCAAAAAACAACAGTTTTAACAAAAAACGAGTCAAA